AAGGCCTTCAGATCCCGCTTGCAGATATCCTTGTATCGCAACTGCGGTCTCCCTCGGGGTGATTTCCCTGCACTCATTCTCCATACAGGAGATCACACTCCCCATGACTAAGTTGCAAAAACCCACATTCAAGAGAACACCAAGAACATATGAAGAGTTTTGTACAGTTCTGGCTCCGCCTGAGGTAGGGTGGCCACATCACATCTTTCCTGGAATGTCATTCCAGTCTTCTGGAATGTCCTTCCATTTCAGTTTCAAGGACTGCCAGGGCACCATCTCCTTTTGGAAAGAATCCCTCCTTTTAAGGGCTGCCCAGTCCACATCTGCCATGAAGACCGAGGGCAGAATGTTATTGCTCATTTATAACTGTGTGTCCTTTGGCCAGCTGCACAAAACCAGGGTGCCCCTCTCCCCCCCCCCGAAGAAGGGAAGGGTGGACTACTCCATGGTATTCACTACCTGGATAACCCTGACAAGGCTTTATTTATTTTTATTTTAAACATGTCTAACCCGCCTTTCTCCTTTAAAAAGGCCCCAAGGTCTTTTACAACATTAAAAGAGGGTCTGAAAGCAGACAGCAGTGAGTATATAAATGCTAAAAAGGACCAAACAAATACCAAAAAACCATGGGCAACACCAAAACACTTTCAGAGCAGTAAAGTACAACCATTGGTTTAAAAAAAAAACCATTTAGGCAGCCAGTCACAAGGGAAAGTTTGCCTGAAGAGAAAGGTCTTTTTCTGCTTGCGGAAGGAGAGCAAAGATGGGGCCAGGCTGGCCTCCAGTGGGAGGGAGTTCCACAGTCTCAGAGCAGCCACAGTGCAAAATTTCCACTCATTAACAAGTTGCTTATTGTACTCCTCAGTGAGGGCCAGAAAAACCTAATTCTGTAACCAGCATAAATTATATAAAATAATCCAATATAATGGGGCAGTTCTGCAACCAGAAAAACCTAATCCTGTAACCAGCATAAATTACGTAAAATAGTCCAATATAATGGGGCAGTTTATTTTAATTCTCCTTGGCACTGAACTAAATGATTTGCCATCTTCCTCACCCATGTGATTACCATTCAGCCTTTTTTCTGTCTCCTGAGATTTTAACCAAACATTGTCCAGCTACTTTCAAAAAGCCTCTCGCTCTTTATCATCTCAAGGTCTAGTAACTTGGTTTTTGAGGCAAGCTTTTAAATGCATGCTGGGATTTTCTGGCTGTGGAATCATACAGAAGCTTTGCATTCTCTAGATACTCTTGTTTTCATACTGAAAATGTAAAAGACCCTGGACTGCCTCTTTAAAAAAAAAGAAAGAAAGAAAATTCCTGAACAGTTATGTCCTGTCCTTTGGTACTTTTGTGATCTTTGCTTAACTGCACGAAAACTCCTTAAGAAGCTTTATCAAAACACACAGAAAAACAAGCCCTTTCCAGAAATATACAGAGAGGATGTTCATATTTGATGACAGCTGCTGCCCCCTAGAGGGAAAATTTCTGGAGAAGACGTTCAAAAAAATATTAACGGAGAAGAACCAGAAAAAAAAGAGGGAGAAGGGAAGTATAGTTCGTGTTCTCAGAAAAAAACAATGAATATAAGAAATATTTCAGGCTAGCTGCTTGCACCAGTTTCAGCTGAATTCTTTCTGTGCAAATTCACATTAATTACATTTGTTAACGAAAAGAAGTAAAAACAAATAGTCATAACGCAAAGAATAAATGTTATTCTCCCTTCTCTGGAAGGCTGGAAAGGGGAGAAAGCTACTTAACAAATCCACAAAGAATCTCAGTTTACAATAAAAAAGCCAATTCTCTAGCCCTAATGTAAGAGAAATCAACTCTGAGTGTTCACTGGAAGGACAGATCCTGAAGCTGAGGCTCCAATACTTTGGCCATCTCATGAGAAGAGAAGACTCCCTGGAAAAGACTCTGATGTTGGGAAAGAGTGAAGGCAAGAGGAGAAGGGGACGACAGAGGATGAGATAGGGTTGGACCGGGTCATCGAAGCGACCAACATGAATTTGACCCAACTCAGGGAGGCAGTGGAAGACAGGAGAGCCTGGTGTGCTCTGGTCCATGGGGGTCACGAAGAGTCGGACATGACTTAACGACTAAACAACAACAACAATGTAAGACACATTTTTAAAAAATAAAGATTCAGCATCTGTTAAACACAGCAGCCAGAGTATTATTGATGCTTGCATTAAAGCATGACTAATTTGCTAACTGCAACTAACTGATGAGGTGCTATGCCTTGATCGTATAGCTGGTTGTGTGTCTGGCTACGCAACTGAGATGCACTTCATCAATTAGCCAGAATTAGCTAGAGAAAGTTATGCAAACAGCAGTAGGATTATAAGAGTTCTAAATAACTCCATGATAAATTCTTCAGTGCCTTTCTCTGAAACTAGAAAATGCAGAAAAGATGTGATTTTGGGAGTTTAAGACCGGGGAAGTCCTTTTCCATAAAAGTCCCTGGAAAATCACTGCTCAGAAGAGATAACAGTGAGTCTCATGGTCAAGTTATGCAAACAGCAGTAGGATTGATAAATGCTTCACTGCCTTTCTCTGAAATTAGAAAATGCATAAAATCACCACTCAGAAGAGATAACAGTGAGTCTCATGGTCGAAGATTTCCTAAATTCTGCCATACACTGACAAGATAAATAAAACTAAATACATAAATATGCAATGATTATGATGATGCAAAGTCTACTCTATGTATATTAATTCTCCCTGTCACATAATCTGAGCTTTCTGCTGTTCTGATCTACCCTTAAACTTGCTTCCAACTTAGGCTGTCCTTATAAAATCATGACCATGGAAAGCTCCTATCATTAACAATTCTGCTCACTAAAGGCTGTGGTTTCCTTTACTAAGCCAGTCCATTTCACACTAGATCTTCCTCTTTTTCTTCCACTTTAAACTCTTCCTAACTCTGCCAGTTCTTCTCAAGATAGTTGCAACGTATGATCGCCTGCAATGAAAATTTATTTATTTACAGTAGGAACCTCCCTATCTCACTAACCTCCTGCCAGAAAATATTAAGTAATTTACCAGAATTAGCCACTAGAGGGAGCCAGGGACAATGTTATGTATAGTGTTTGCCATTTCTACGTTTTTTGGCATGGGGGGGCTTGGAACGGATCCCCTGCGGATACCATGGTACCATACCCCAATCACTCAGCACAGCAAATACCTGTAAAATAGAAGCTGTATTTTTCTGTGTATGAGATACCCCATGTATAAGACACCCCCCCACTTTTCTAATCCAAAATTTCTTTCTTTGCAAGAAAGTGGAGAGGGAAAGCGATTCCTGCTTTCTCCCTCCACTTTCTTTGCAAAAAGCTGCTTTCCTCCTCCACATGTTTTGCAAAGAGAATGGAGGGGGAAAGCGACTCTCACTTCCCCCTACACTTTTGTTGCAAAAAGCAGCTTCTCCCCTCCATGTTTTGCAAAGAAAATGGGGGGGGGCCAGGAGGCTTTGATCCCTCCCCCTTTTTTCCATGTATAAAACGACCCTCAATTTTTCCTTTAATTATTTTAGGAAAAAGTGTTGTTTTATACATGGAAAATATGGTACAGTGGTGCCTCGCTTAACAAGTGCACCGTATAGCGATGTTTCCGTATAGCGATCCCTTTTTCGGGATCGCTATACGGAAGCATACCCGATCTTCGCAATGGGGAAAACCTGCATTGCGAAGATCGGGTATTGCGGCGGCCATTTTGGAGCCGCTGAACAGCTGATCGGCGGTTCCAAAATGGCCGCCGGAAGCCCGGAAATGGCTGGCCGCCGGCGGGTTCCGCGCCTCC